AACGCCATGTTTTCCGACACGGTGGGTCTAAACACTCGTAGACACGAACCAGAAGATCTTCAGACAAAACGGATAAAATTGATGTAGACATCGACATTTAAATGTTTGCAACAGAAACAAAACAAAAAAAAAGAAACTTTTTATTTAGAGGGAAAATTAAAAAATGGGTTTGATCTATAATTCAGAAAGTTTAAAGCTTTTTGGTTGTGTTGTGTTTTAAGTCGGGATGAAGAGGAACACAGCTCGGAGATAGAGTAAAGAATGGTGAACCGGTTTTTCAAGAATCCGAATTCGGTTAACGGTTATCAAATTCGGGTTCATTACTCTGAGATCAGTCACACACCTTTCGGAATTTTTTTTCCGGTGAGGAAAGTTTCAATTTTTCTCACTTTTCTTTTTTTTCTCTTTCGAGGTTTCAATATAAAAGAGAAGAAGAAACAACGAAGAAGATGACGTAAGAAGCTGAAATGACAAAAACACCCCTGGAGTACGGAGAAACTCAACTGTTAAATGATCTGTTAACACCTGGTTAGTTATCCACGTGGCGATATATGATTGGTTATTAATGGAGGATGTATCGTAAGATCTGTAGCAGATGATTAGTTTCGTACCAGTTTGCGGGTCCTACATAACGTGCATCGACCGTACCTATCTGTTTGACTCCAAAAAACTATATGATAAAAATTCCGATAGTATTATTATTATTATTTTTTAAAATCAAATCTGAACATATTATTTAAAAATGAAATGAAGAGAAAAAATAAATAGCATATTCGATTGTCTGACGTGGATAGTACGCGAGATCGTCGTGTCAGATCGATCGTAGGGTTTTTACGATCTGGAACCTTTATACAAAATTGCTAATTTTATTTAAAAACGATGACGTGCAAATGCAATTATAGTTAATTAGTTAGGTAAGTATACTTTAAAGTTTAAACACATTAAAACAATAGAATCATTAAACTCTAATTTGAGTGTTTATTCCAAAGTTGTGCAAACGTCATGTATATATATATCATAGACCACGCCGCTTTGCGTTGGGACTTTCGCTGGATATATATATATTTATCATAATTCATAAGAATAAGATAAGGGTATGTATATATATTTGCATGCAAATATGTTGTTGATAAGTTCTTATAGAAGTAGACAAATTAAGTAGTGAATACTTTTTTTTCCAAGCTCTAAATTAATGCGTACATATTGAGATTTGTAGGTGTACTTGGTGTACGGGTGTTTAAGAAGTTGACAATTTTTTTTTATTTTTAGATAGACAAAGACATTGCATACGTGACCATATTGTATATCTCTGAATTTTCTCAATGGATAAATTGAAATAAGGATTATACGTTTTATAGAATACGTTAGCGTGACTAAAATTTGGTGGAGATCAAATAATGCCTACCCTAGAAAAAATTATGGATCTTGCATATAGACTTTATGGAGGCGTTGTAGAAACTTTTTGACGTGTTTATATATATATATGAATAATCACATGTATTTAGAGAGAGTTTTTTTCAAAAAAAAAATGTATTTAGAGAGATATTATTGGTTTTGATGTGTGTGTGTGAATATTGGAAATCTTAATCAGATTAATGTGTGCTTTAACAGTTGGTAGAACTAAATATGAGTTTTATTTTTATCTGATTAGCATATAAAAAACTCATATTTGTTCCACCACCTGTCAATACAAACTTAATCTAAATATAAGATTTGATTAGTTTGGAACTTTTATATAATTTTCACATTTATATATTTTTTTATCAATGTTAAATATAAAATTATAGGCTGCCCACTTAATATTAACAAATATTTAGATTCTCAGTATGAATCTCTTAGTTTATAATTTCATTCATAATTGGTGAAATGGCTGAGACTGTTTCAATAATTAGTAGCTGCTTACTGGAATTCCAATTATTGGATGGATTAAATGCATGACACCAGAAATTAATAAATATATATATATATATATATATATATATATATATATATAAGCTAATTAAGCTAACGAAAGATCAAAATGTAGTTAGGTTGAAATGTGACATTTTGATTTTTTTTTTCGTTGATTTAATTAGCTTTCTAAAGTTTTAAATATAGTTCAAATATGAAGATTTATATACACTACCACCACTTTATACGTTTTGTTTTCCTAATTTACCACCAAAATCCTAAAATTCCAAAATACCACAGAAATCTTGCTATGAGGTTTATTAGACGGAATTTTCTAAAATGAGTTCGTAAATGTAATTAGGAATCATTTTATGTGGTAGTTTGAGGAATTTTAAAGTTTAGATAAATATATAAAAAAAATTAAAGCAAAACAAAAAAAAAAGTGTAATTAACCATCTTTGAAATTATGAATCTCACAATTATTTTCAGTTAATGTTAATAACAATACTGCCTATCTTTTTTTTATTATTATAACCTCGAATTAATGTGGATCTAAAGGACAAATAATGGATTATTTTAATTAAATAAATGAATTAAACTTTATTTTTTTGGCCAAACCTAATAAAACGTTTTGCTAGTTAATTAAGTTAAGTTGATGACAAAAAAAAAAAAGTTAAGTCTCTCATGGAAAACATATGTAAACTGTAGGTGCCCTAATGTAAAAAATTAGAAAAATAAATCTCATAATATATATATATATATATATATATATATATAGATTTATGAAATTAGCCAAAAACAATTATAAGCTTAATGAGTAATGAGGAGTTTGACCCCTTAAAAAAAAAGAACTAAGATTAAACTATAGCACTGTGGTTAATGTGGATCAGTCCACATTACCTTTTTTTTTTTTTTTGGATATGAATGCCAAATATTTAAATGATGTATACATATACTATTACTATAGAGAATAAATAAAAAATGCAATAATAAAATGTAGATAGGTGGGTGTGTGATAGAACCTGACCAGAATAAGATCTACCCGACTTGAGCCTAAATCAAAAGGATGACGACAAAGGTGAAAAGACTTACCTCTACAAGTTGCGAGAGATTCTCGCACCTCTCACGTTCTCCTTCTACTTCGTTGACTTCACTTCCTTGACCCAATTTGCTTTGGGGAGGACCAATATAAAAATTGGACCTAGCTAATTTTTCATATCCTCTTTTAAATATTAGTCACATAAAATATTTATACATTTATATATCATTTTTATCATATATTAATCTGTGTTTCATACAATCCGATATTCCGATTTCATTTTTTTTTAATTCAGAAAATAGATTCACAATAAAATTTAAATACATTATTAGAAATCAAGAAAAACAAAATTAAAGAACAAGAATCGAAAATCTTAATTAACGATAGATTTTAGAATAAGAAATATATATATACAAGATTATAAACCGCGACGAAAATGAAAATATTTACGTATGTGGTGATATGATGATGTGATGCATGTATTTTTCATAAGATGATACTACATTGATTGATTTAGAACAAGGTGAAGAGTTGTGGAGGGTTTTTATATAGGGGAGGAACTTATGATAGGTGATCACATTGTGTTGGTCTTGAGACTAGACATCATCGAATATGTAGATATTGTTCATATGATGACATCAAATGCAAAAATGAGTTCATTGTCTTCCAAACACAAAGAATACGAATCTATGCTCATTGTGTCACCTCAAATATTTTGGTCTGTATAGAAGTTTCAAATACAATTATATGTGCACCTGTTTTGTTGATTTTGCAATATTTTTCCAATTTGGTATCGAATCTATGGCATGTGTTCGGCTACTTGACATTTTTCTGTTACCATTTTATGTGTTAAGGTTGGAGTCATCGTATATTACATTTGCTGTTTTAGGTTCTCTTGTCCTAGCAACGCTTTTGTACCATTGGTTGAGTAGATTAAATTGGATAAATCGGATCAAACCGGCCGGTTCTATGCCATCACATTTGGTACCATACGTAGCCTAAGTTTATATTTTTTTTAGGTAGATTCAAACATAGAGAAACATTGGATGTTGTATATACTAATACGGTTTTGAAATGGTTGGGCATTGTAGTTTGCATCTAGGTATAAGTATAAGTATAACAATTGATTTGGTTTGATTAAGTGCTAATTAATTCATCTTTAACATCACATTAACTGAATAACCTCTCTAATTTAGATACACTCTTCTATATATCACAATGCATGTAACAATGCAATCTATATGTTTACACTCTTCACTCTTCTAATTTAGCGTTTCATCACTGCATGGGGCACGAATAACCAAATAAGCTAAGTAAACATTGCAGTATGGTAATGAAGTGAACGTTTATTAATAGTGAGTATGGGATATGTGCCACACCTCAACACACTGTAGATCCGCCCCTGACTGCATCTATCTGCGGTTATAAATTTTGAATGTCGATTAAATTCAGCATCAACGATTAAAACCGCGGCGACGGCAACAAACAACAATCTATAGCTTTTGCTACAGGGCGACGAAACAAAAGAAGCCCTATAAACTGTATTTTGACATTATTAAAACTACGGAAACTTGAAAATCAACAACCAAACCATGCATGCCTGTCTCTATTGGAGTAGATAAAACAAAAACAGAGATCCATCAAAAAATCGAAAATTAAAAAAGCTATCATCATCACACTAATTATTGTGTGCATCTAAAAACAGTAAAATACTAACAAGTGTAAATATATATATAACTTGGACAAATCCACGTAAGATTACTTTTGCCTTTTAATGTCGAACAAAAACGTTACTTCATTGGTTTAGAATACATATTGGATCAAACATCAACATCACAAATTCAACTGCTAACAATGGAAAGAAACCAAATCGAGCCAAAGCCCACTAATTGAAAACGAGACATCCAACATTACATACCCACTTTAGTCCATTAGAACTAATGGACCAACTATATTATAATTGAAAATAACCCATTTTGGTTGTAAAGAGTTTTAATTTTTTCTAAGGGCCTTTTTCTTATGGTTTACTTCATTGTTCTGTTCTTTCTTTTGGGTATCAAGTTACAAACAATGAGACAATAAATCAACTCATAATGGCTGCGACCAAAAAACGCATTTTGTTGAACTTCAAAATGAATACAAATGTAAGGCTATCTCTGATCTATTTACAAAGCAATGTTTTTTACTTCAAACTGGTGGCATGATGAACATGTTGTGATAAAGATGAAGATGAAGAAGAATGGAGAAAGAGGCAGACCACAGACATATCGTCCATCGAGATTCCTCGTCTCTTTTTCTTCCAAGCTCGAACCGCTTGCTGTACTAACCGCTTAGCCGCCTTTGGCCGCTCAGCCGTTGAGGAGACGATCTCTACAGCCTCTTGGTTAGAGATCACATCCCATATCTATAATATTTAAACCAAAGATTGGTTAAAAACTTTGCCTATAAATAATAAATGAGTGGTGTATAATCACAATTAACCAAAAGAGTATATAAGTTTAACTATGCAGTATTTTGTTTGTTTAAAGGTTTAGTAAGTATTTTTTACCCCATCACTAGCCAAGATGATGAAATGGTCTTTAGTAGAGATATGTCTTTGAGTGACTTCAGGGACTGAGACCAATCCATAATCTTTGATACAGTAGTCACCGAACGCTCTCGACATTGCGAGCCCCGGGGTTTCTGCGTCTGGTTGCCACACACGGTGAACTCCCGGCTCATCTTTTAGACAAAATACCCGCCCTTTGCATCCGATTATCCGCTCCTCCTCCTCTGTTTTTTTTTTTCAGATCAAAACAAATTTAAGAATTTAGACTCAAAGGTATACTAAAATAAGAGTCATGTTTTGAATGCTACAATTTTTACTACATAGTAAGGTAGGATTTCTAAGAGGGGTTGAGAAAACTAACGTGGTAGATTCGGTTTGAAATCGAGGGTGAGCTGAACCGCAACTAAGCTTCCCTCATCCGAAACCGTGGCTAGTACCGCTCTTGAATCGCCTACATTTGCTATATAAATAACTTCACCCTACATAAGCCAAGAAACCATTCATCAGTAAACAACATATAAAAATTATCAAAAAAAGTTAATATTTCATTTTAAGTTTTACCTGTCTAACAATGGTTAGAGAAGTTGAGCCGCTATAGTAAGCATCGATCTTGCGGTGTTGTTCAAGTTCTTGATCAACCATTGCACATGTTTTGAGATAGGATTGCTTCCATATCTCGAATCTTGATTGTTTCTTATTAGAGTCTTCGAGGTCGAGGTCGGGCTCTAGTGTTTTCTGAGCAAGAATTTTTTGCCAGTTGCATAAAAGTGATGAAGGCATTGAGTTTCTTACATGTTTGGCTACATAGTGACCCCATGGACCGTGTCCATCGAATATACCGCAGAAGATCATATCTTCTTGGCACCCAAATCCCTGTTTTTCCAAAGATATATAAAATGAGACTTCTACATTTCTACTATAACAAGTACTTTATCATAAGAGTATTGTGAAAATTAAGTACTTAAAAGACACAAAGAGAAGGCTATATAAACATAATCATAACGCGGTAAAATCGCGTAAAGGATTACATAAATCTAGCTGCTATTAAGTTGCTAACATCTAAAAGAACCTAGTGGTCTAACAAACAAATATGCAAACTCAAATAGTAACTTAAGAGAGTAGTAATGTACCTCCCAAACGAGAGCACAATCTTGGTTAACGCCTTTTTCGCCGCGTTTGGAGAAAACTGAAGCCGAGCTATTAGATCCTTCTGCATTAACATAACCAGAGGATTTCAGAATCAGTTGTTTCTTCTTCGCATCGTTCACCATCTCATCAGCAGCCTCCTTTGCGTCGTTGTTTCCATTGTTGTTCTTCACTTTCTTTATAGAAAATGATCGAGCTAACCCACTGAACATCGAAGAGAAATGCCCCATTTTTTAAATCACCCCAAAAAGATGAAAATATCAAGAAACAACGACTAATCTTTCTCGTTAAGCGTTACTCGATCTTGAATCTGCTAAAAAGAGAAACAAGAAGTGTTTAGAAACAGAGGTTGAAACTTAAACGTAAGAAGATGAGTCATAGTGGTAAAGATATTAGTGGAATATTCATAAGTCTGACATGGAATTCCATTGGAAACCCAAGTTTATGAGATTTATCTTTTTGATAAAAATATGAAAAAAGAATCGAGTTTCTGTTTATAGAAACACACATCTAGAGATATTTCTTAATAAGGAAATGAAAACCAAGTTGCAAAGATTCCAAGATTCTTCTCTTTTGCTTTTTCCAGGAAAACTAATTTTAACACATATGAGAGAACTTTGTTTCTTCTTAATACTTAAATAAATAATATATAATAACATATGAATACCCTAAAAGGTTTAATAAGAGAAAGCAAACACACTTAATCCCATAGATTTTGCTTCAAAATTAAGTTTAAAGCTTTTCTGATTTTTTGTAACCATTAGATTAAGATATATAATACTTTCTAACTTTGAGACATAGGAGAGGATGAAAAAAACAGAACCCAAGAATTCAAGAAAGCTTGCATTTGGATACCAATCAGATTCTTACTATAGATATGTCTAAACTCTAAAAGAGATATAGAAAGAGAGAGAGAGAGAGAGAGAGACCTTTGAAGTGTCACGCCGGAGAAATGACGTAAGCTCAGAAAAAGATGACGTTTTAACAACCCAAAGGCTGAAGAAGAAGAAGATTAAGCTAATGGAGCAAAGCCAAGAGGAAAATATCAGAATCCATTATAAAGCTCCAAAGAGAAGGAAACAATAGAGATTGATATTTTTATTTATTTTTTTCTGGTACGTTTGTGTTCTTCTGTTCTTCTCTCTTGTTCATTTTATTTAATCTTGTGGTAGGGAGAAAGGACAAAGAAGTAGCACGACATCGTCTTTGGTTTGGTCTTTTGTGGTTGATATAAAAATCATATAATAAATTTTCAATTATTACATTTCTCTCCAAGATATTTGTTGATTATGTTTGTATTTTTATAATGTTTTCAAATGTACCACAATTATTATTATTCAATAATTACATTTTTCTCTACTATATATCTTTTTGTTGATTATGTATGATTTGTAATATATATTCTCAGAACAATATTGTTTGGGATTATACTAAAATTGAAAAATTAATATGTCAACCATAACGTTTTTTTGTTTGTTTGTTAAAATACTTAATAATTTTTAATGGTGTTGAGATTTGATATTTCTGATATTATAAATCAGAAATAAAGAAAAAAAAATGTGTACATGATGAAATGGGTGGCTGGTGTCCCAATCGTTATATCAAAGGTCAAATAAATCAGATCCAAAAAAAAAAATTCAGTAAAAATTCACTGTTCTTCGAGAAAAATAACCAAACAAAAAAAAAATTCTGAATTTTTTGAATAATAATAATTTGTTGATTCTGAATTTTTTTTTTTGTTGATTCTTCACTTATTTTTATTTGCATATTTTTCTTTCTTTAACTATAGCAGAAGTCAAAACTTAACTAATTATAATATATACATAACTAAGATAAATAAAATAAGAAAGTGACATAGATATTTAGCATTATCCATGGAGAATGTCAACAGTTCCGTTATGGGTTCTTTGATTATTTTCTTAAAACATTATGTTGTTAGTTATCATTATTCGAATAATAGCAATTACAATATAATATTATAACTTAAATCATATTAACTGGCATAAAATTAGGTAAGCGATCGAGAGTTAGGAAAACATATATGATGTTATCATTGATATTATTTATATAAAAATTTGTTATGAAAGATATTGCTAATTTTATTTGGCATTGTGTCATATGATTATCGTGGGAAACTATACTCTGCCATGTTAACGACATCGATATAAATTACAATATACAAATATTGTATGGGTGTGTGAATCTATTTAATTATTGTATAGTTGATGTATTATATAGTATACGTATGAATAAAATATTCAAACTTATTTTAAAATTTAGGTCAATATTCAAACTAATTTTAAAATTCATAACTTTCACTTTGTCTATGAACTTATGCAGATGTCAGTTTGATTATATTAATTTTGTAAGTATATAAAATCTCTTACAATCACTTTCAGATTTAAATGCCTTTCTCTTATCAAATTGAGTTGTAGGCTTTGCGGTAAAGAATAAAATAATAAAATTGAGTTGCATACTATTTACTGCAATAGTGAGGAATTATTGAATAAATAATTTTTATTATTTTCCTTTTTATGAAATATTTATGATATATATATATATATAATAATTCAGAGATTTTAAAGTTTTCGATTAGTTTAGGTGTGGATTTTGACTACCAACCAAAAAAAAAAGATGGGTAAGAAAAAGCATGAAGTCGATAGAAATGACTTGACAATATAACTTTTTAAAAAGTATAGTAAAAGTAATTGATTTATTTGTCACAATTTTGGCTCGTTAAATAAAAATCAGTGAAATTTTGCAATAATTAATAGAAAGCAATAGATGTTAGAAATCAGGCATGCTCTATAAGAAATCATGTTAAATTTAAATATAATATAGTTGTATAAACAGATCAATAATTAATACACTACATAATTATATAAGAATCTAAAATAATAAATATTCAATATTGTATAAAATATAAATATATAATGCAGTAGATAACTACATAAAACTTTAAAATAACACTTCGTCCATTTATATGATTAAAAGTAGATAAAATAATTTGTTACATTAGAGTTCTACAACCTCTTTGATATTTATCTTTTTTTTTTCTTTGATATTTATCTTACTTAAACTATGTGAAAATTCTAAAAAAAATAAGAAGTCGACATTGAAAAAGAACATAGTACATTGATAAATCAACGGTCCCATAAACAGATAATAATAACGACAAAATCGTCTTAAAATTATTTAAATTCAATTTTGTCTATATAATTCAAGCACCATCCTTGTCATTTTCATATATACACATTTTTCTTTGCCGTAAGATGCAAATTTCATGGATATTAAATCGAAATCAAGATTAGTTTTGTATACATTGGGTTGAAAACCATATAAGTATAGTATTTCATCCATTTATAGTGGCTACAAAAAGACATGCTTAGCTTATCTAAATAATTATGTCTTTATTCTCTCAATAGCTATTTGAAAAAAATATGAAAATATATTCACTCTTATATAAATCACTGATTTAAAACTCAAAACCGTATTATTCGAACAAATGAACAAATCAAAGGCATAAATTATTCGAATCTTGAACGAGTCAATTCATCTTATTTTTTAATGTATAAAACAATCGAAATGAAAGGTTTTACACGTTAATATTAAAACAATAATATATATATATATAATGTAATAACAATATATACATATAATATATGTATTGGACTTAGTAATCATTAATTTCATCATGCACATTACATGTATAATTTACTAATTAAAAAAATCCAAGTGAGAGGACCTTCTTAAATAAGTAAATAGCACAATAAAGAAAGCCAATTTGAGTTTGAGCAATGCCTCGCTCTTTGAAGTTGCCCTAGCCGCCGTCCATCAAAATACGATTCCCGTTCGTCCTCTCCGGTGATCGGCGCTTCTCGCCGTAACCGTGAGAGGGACAGTTCTGCTCTGTTTTTCTTTGTTTGGTTGTACTCTTGCGTTGCCTCAGCTTTTTCCGGGTGGATCGGTGGTGGATAGCTTCTCAGCTGAATAGATGGTCTTTACCGTGAGGTTTACTTCGGTGGTGCTTTGAGCGCTGTTCGTTCTCCCTCAGCAGTATCAGGAGAAGTTTTTTCTCTCTTTGTCAGATCCGGCGTTGTCTTCGTCTCTTTGATGAAGCTTTCGGTTCTGTCTTTCTGCACTTTTGTGTGTTTATTGGTCGGGTAAGCTTCCATCTGGTCCTTTCTCCTTCAATTAGATGAGGCGTTTTGTTAGGTTTGGGTGAGTATCTTCGGCATGCGTGTGGGTTTTCTTTGGTTTGCTTCGAGGTTGATTTTGTGTTTTGCGGGTTCGGTTGGAGCGTCTTTATCTTTGGGACCCTTGGCTATAGCAATTCTCTTGGCTCCGGATGTATAGGATCTACGGTGCTGCTCTAAGAATTATGCCTTGGTTTTGCTTGCTTTGTCCCTTGTGTAGTCGCTCTTGTGTTGATAGTCTCTATGCCGTTTGTTGAGTGTCGTCTGGGCTATAGTCAGGTTTTGTCCTGTCGCTGCTCTTCTTCCCGCTCTTAGTCATCTCGTCTCAACCTCTGAATTCTGTTGGGTATGTTTCCTTGCTATGAAGAAGTTACATTTGTTTGTTTGGATTGTTAGACCGCTAAGTTTGCAGCTGCTTCTTCTTCCTGGTGTTGACTCGCTGTGTTTGACAACTCTCCCGATTTTTCATCGTTAGTGATGTTATTTGAGTGGTTGGGCCTCCCTCCTTGTCCTTGCTTTCCTGAATCTGTTTAGATAGGATCGCGTTTTGAAGATTTCTAGTTAGACTTTTAATGGACGTGGCAGTCGTCGTAGTCGTATCCGAAAGCGTGCTCGAGGTTTTCTCAACTCATAGGTTTGCTTGTCGGGTTCTGAAGTCTGGTTCTTGGTTTCGAGAGAACAGCTCTCGTCGTGATAGGAGGAGGTAGATGTTATTTTAGGATTGGCCGAGGGCATCCTAAATAAATCTCATCCGCAGGTGGTTCAGAAGAAGTGTGTCCTTGTGTTCTTTAGTCTTTCTTTCCGCTTAAGGTTTTAGCCTCTTGCTTCTGTCATAGTTTATGGTTTCGTCCTCTTACGTATCTGTTTGAAATATTTACCTTGTATTTTCATGTCCTTTTTCCATTGGGTTTAGTATCCGGGGATATTTCGTTTTTCTCCGGCTGTGTGACTTCGGGAACATTTCTGTCGTTCGCCGGCTTATGTTTTCCTCTTTTGGGCATTTGCTCCCCTTTGTGGGGTTTGGTTTCCGGGGATTTGTTGTTCTTCTGCCGGCTTTTGTAATCTGTACTTTTGCTTTTATAAATATATTCAGATGACAAAAAAAGAGTTTGAGCAATGCAAAAATACATACACTATTAAAGTACGTAGGTCGTAGCAATACACGTTTATCATAAGGGATCCTAATTCCTAAAGTATAGATAAACAGTTTTATGTATATTATTATATATACAACAACAACAACAAAAAAACAATCATATAATATCGTACATGTGAAATGGGCCATGTTTGTTTTTACCTAAAATCATTGAAACTATAAAAGAAATACTCTATAAAGGTAAAATATATATAAATAATTTATAGATTAAGATCGATTGAGATTCAAGAAAAGTAATATAAATAATCATCAATCACACGAAAATATCTCTAACACTATTCGTTCTTTGAACTTATTATAAAGTTTAATTTTCTGCAATAGACACAACTCACCAAAAGGGGTTGATTGGTCTTAGCTTAGGCCTGCGTTTACATACAAACCGATTGGTCTGAACTAAACCAAACCGATTGGTCTGTACTAAACCAAACCATATTGTTCAATTTTTTGCTCATAATCCGTATAGCAGTCGGTTCAATTTCGGAAAATTTTTGAGTCATATTTGGTTTAAGGTTTAGTCAGTTATCCATTTATGTTAAAAAAATAAAATAAACATATTTTTAACCAAAACTTATATCAATTCGAACTAAATTAATTAATTTTATTTGATTTAACCATTTTTATTCTATTCTCCTAATTTAAACCGAGAAACTTCGAAAAAAACAATTCAATTTCGTAGAATTTAAATAACCGAGAACCAAACTGATTTGATTATCTGATGACCAAATAAACCGATTTAGTTCGACGATTTCGGTTAACTAAACTCACGTAGCTTACTATTGTAGCTAGCTTAGCTAGTTCGATTTGTTTATTACATCAAATAACTATTAGACCATCTTTAATGGCAATTCTTAGAACTTAAATTTCTTTAAAAGAATATCTTACTTGCCATTAAGGATGACCTAATTCCGATTAGATGAAAGACAACTTAAGAAGAGCAAGGGAATGAACCGAAATTGGAAACCGTAACGTGACAGGTCGCACAATAATTAGTTAAAGCCGTGACGAACTTGGACGTTGAAGGTTCTTCTCTCTATCTCTCTCTTTAGGGGTTTCACATTACTCGAGAAAGGGAGAATAAGTCAGTAGGACAATTATTATGGGGACTGGACACTACTGTGGTTGTGACCGCTTGTGACGGTCGTGGGACACGCATAAGAAAACAAGAAACACTGATTCATTCGTTGGATGAAATGAAATGAATCCCCAATATGTCGGCAACAATCATGCAACACCAAATCTCTCTTCTTTGATAAATCCTTTTTAAAACAAATATTTTTGGACGTGTAAATAAAAAGTTCAAATTGATATAGTAAAGAAAAGGGTTTTTTTTTTACAGGTTGGATTATTGGATATAAGAATATTCAAACCATTTTAAAATGGACATTCAAAGTATGTATTTCATTGTAGTGTAGTAATAAAAACAGTAACATGCTAAAAATAGATTATGAGATCTCCGTATCTTTCCAATCTCATGGAACTAAAAAACAATTACGTGTTCGGTAATGACTCTAATGAGTCATATGACCTATGCATAAACACGTGATGGACATATGAGACTTTGTTGGTGTGCGCACTGGGCAAAGAGATTGCTCGATATTTTTGGTTGGGAAGTTCATAGTTTGGCAACCGAACCTAGTCTAGAACCATCGATCACATGATCATCATGATGGATTCGGTTATCTCGAGGTCTATTAGGAACTCTTATGGATAAAACGTTCCACTCTTACCACACATGGCAACGAGTTATCATATGTGGGGCGGTGCACTCGGCTAAGTCACTCTCAAGTCTTAGTACATATATAGCCATTTTTAGGGTTTTTAAAACTTTTTTTTGGCTAAGATAATGAAATGTATTTGCAAAAAAAAATCGATGACAAAAAAGAAAACTAGCTACTATTAAAAACATACTAAATTTAGCGAAACTAAATAAATATAAATATTTAAGTTTAGAAGTCGCCGATTCGAGTAACATTTAGGACGAGACCATATAACATGTTTTGGTTTCGGATCTGTTGGAACCAAGTGTTAATAGCTCAATTGATAAAGATTTTTCGTAAAATTATTAAAGAACAAAAAAGAAATCGTAAAACAAGTTTATGGAAGTATTAATTGTTGAGTGAGTTTAACTATTTATGCTGTTTTGACAAAACTGTTGTATGGTTTTTCATTGGCTGGTTTATAACTGTAGGGTAAAGAAAAAAGTCAATGGGAAAAAGAAATATGCCAAATGTTGCATGATATTGGAAAAAGCCCATTAAGTTAGTATAAGGCCCATAATTATTTACCCATAACTTATTTTTTATCTTCTTTCAGAACCGGTTCAATAAACCGACTTCTTGAATTTGAAACTGAGATTTTCACTGGGTTCAGACTAAAACACCAAAACAAACTTTGCAGATAAAGATGAAAAACGAACTTACCTGACTTGAACCCGAGCTCCCTTGATTCTAATCTGGTCGTGTCTCTCAACAAAGTTGTAGGTGTTGAGTTGAACCAGACACTAATGAGAAGTTGAGAACCTAATATTTATAAAACGACCAAAGAAGCTAGCAAAAGATCTTATGGGATTAGGTAAAAAGAACAAAGACAAATTAGGGAAATAAAGCGACAATAGAGCTTGAACCACATGATTCTTGTTGGTACCGACAAATCATAATTTGGTAAGTTACCTTGGTCAAGGGGCAAAGAACAACGAGTCAAATTGTGGTCGGTTTGTCTTTTTTTAGCGTGGTCACTGTTCAAGCATAAATTAAGCTATAGACAAACGTCACATACCTCACCTCACACAAATCCAAATTCAACATAAGGAACAAGCTAGAAACGTTAGTCTGAATCTAATCATGACATAGACCAAAGTGGTAGATGGTCAAGGTAATGTAAGAAGATCTCCATGAAGACACGCCCTTGATCTAGCATAGAACAACAAACTCAAATACAGAACATGTTTCTTGATAACTCAAAGAGCTAGTTCTCTACAATATTCATGTTTTGTTTCTGTCTCAGCTGTATTACCAGTGTTAGTTCCTCATTGTCTGTGGTCACATCCAAATTCTGTTATTAAATACACAAACACACAGAGATATGAATAGCATAGAAGATACAAACAAAAAATGTTTCTTATGTTAGATTCTGAAAGCTCTCAAGAAGTCTAGGCAGCATTATTTCCAGGTAGGATAGACTTAAACTTCACATGCAAACAGAACAAGTTGCAAAACTGTGGTAACAGACTTAACAGTTCTCAAATTTACAACTCAGACAAAAAGTAGAAGAAGCCAAGAATGTTTTAGAAACTTGAAAACATCACATTCATACTTAGGAAAACATACAATGATACAATTCAAAGGATTATAAAGTTGGATTACTTACAAGAAGAGACTGTTTTTGGTAACAGAGGAGTTAAAGTGATAATCTAACTTCAAAAGTGAGAATACATACATAATAGAAAATAATAATACGTTGACCTAATCAAAGATCATATCGTGGAACAAGACCTAATTCAATTGTAACAAGAGAACATCATTGGATCTACAAAAGACGACGGTGGCTGAGTCCACCCTGCAAACTGATCAAAGTGGACAAGTGAGGACTGTGTCTGCATCTGAGGAGGAAACACCATGGGAAGATCAAAGTTGTTGCAGTTACTTCTTAAACCAGATCCTTGTGTCCCAAGTAAAGTTGTACTCGTCGATGGGTCAAAGCTAGAAACAGAGTCAGGGAGTTGACAGAAGCTACCGTTTCCATGGTTATAGAGAAAGACTGAGAATTTGCTCTGATGATGTTGACTCAATGATGACGTAGATAAGTCTTGCTCTGTTTTTGTCCATTGTTGATGAGGATCCTTGGTAGAAGAAGACACCGCACGACACTGATCTGACTCTGTTTGGTTCTGTGGTTGGAGTAACCGCAGCTTATCTTGTAACATCCGTAGACCAGTCTCTAACGAAGCCTGCATCTCCAAGACTTTCTCGTAGAACTTGTTGTCCTTGTTATCAAAAGATGTCTTCTTGTCGTTGAGGATCTTCTTATTCAGAAACTGAGAAAGGTTGGTCCTTTTCTTGCGTCTCACTCTCTCGTCTAGTTTGCTGTATCTCTCTGCCATGTCTCGAACCTTAGTTCTATCTTCCGGCCATGTCTTTACGAGTTCTCCGTCACGGCCATAGTATATAACACAGACTTCGATGTCGCAGAGAATTGAAAGCTCCGAGGCTTTCTTAAACATGGTCTGTTCTCTCAAAGACAGATTCATAGTGGTCTTCTTTTTTGAAACAGAAGAGAGTGACGAAGGTTTCTTGAAACAAGTTTGGTTTCTCACAGACAGTTTCGATTCCTTCTTCGTCGACATTGTTGTTGTTTGCACCAAAATAAAAAACAGAGAAGAAGCTAGGGTTAGTTTCTTATCAGAGAGAGACAAAAACAAAAACTTTGAGAGAATTGGGATGATAGTGTAACACACACGGTTCAGGGTAAATCATATATATAGAAGTGAACTATATTATTGTTTTCCATATTTGCTAACCGTTGTAGCATTAGATTTTCCATATTTGCTATACTAAAAACATTAATTATGATATCAAATCTAACCGTTGTAGAATTAGATTTTCCATATTTTTGAGCTGTGAGTTTAATTAATTTCCATTTTTTGTAAGTGTATCTTCTCTTCATTAAATGACTAGGTCCGGACCCGCGCTACAGCGCGGAGGAAATAATTACATATATATAACTTTTATCGGATTAGAATATGTTACATTTTAATTTTGTTAGAGTGCAGTCGATTACGGTAAATCATATATTTGTATAATAAGTTTAAATAAAATAATAAAGGAAAAAGCGAGTAAATAATCATATAATGAGTTTTGATACAATTAAAAACACGGTGAAAATTTAACAGCACTAAATAATATTTGTCGATAAATTATTCATTTTGGCATTTTTGTAGTAAAAGTAGGAATATACGTAAAAATTACATATTGACAATATATTTTTTGAAAGTCCAACCCGTAACAGAATTCATTTCGTAAAAAACATTATTCGTAACTCGTTTTATCATTATAATTGTGATTTTAACAAATTACCCGTGAATTATCTAAAATTTACATATTTTGATATATAATATATTTTATCAATAAAAGTTATGTCTCCAAAAATTACATTTATATCTTCAAAAAAATATTTCGATATTTTAAATTCTAAAAGTTTTA